GCAGCGGCAGTGGCAAGGAAAGGATAGATATCGGTCTAGCGTATGCCAATGCCACCAATGTGCGCTAGGGTAACGTTAGCGTATTCTAGCGTTACGCTAGAGATTCCATTCACTAGCGTTTGCAGCGGCGGGGAGTAGAAACTATGGGAGAGTAGGATACAGTTTGACTAGGTGTGCTGTGAAATGGCGGCGTTTGTAGCACATCGCAGTACTAAGACCGAACACTAAATTGGTTGAATTGCACAACGCATAAATGCAAAGCATGAACCGATCACCACCTCATCATTTCGATGAGCGTAGGACCATTTAGGATTTTTCATTAGAATGAGCATTTGTAAGGCGTATATTGACAAGAAACCATTCATACGAATTTTCAGAAGTTCCCAAAAAATAGAACAATCTCCAATAGACTAGCCCCAGAAAAAAGATATGGCACATGTAAAAGTTGACATTTTCCCAGTACAATTCAATTCCGGTGCGACAATGTAAAAAAACATTCCCTTCGAACAGGTATCCACATAATTAGGCAATTTAACCAATTTATTGTCAGTGTTGCGGTACGGCTACACACGTCGCAACTTCACGGCAAACCTGATCAAACTGTTCACTACACTCCTACTCTCCCTTACCTTAGTCTCTACTCCCCGCCGCTGCAAACGCTAGTGAAACACTGCAAAAGCTAGTGAAACGCTAGAAACGCTAGATCGATGCCTATACTTTCCTTGCCTCCGCTACGCCACCATGCGCTACGCTAGCGCAATGCTAGAATACGCTTGCGTTACGCTAGCGCACGCTGGTGACGCTTAGTCGTAACGCTCCGCGCACGTTGGTGACGCTGCCGGACGCGAGAAATATAGCGAGCGCCGGCGTACGCTGCGGCAAAGAATGAATGCAGCCTTACAGGCTCTGAGGAAGGCGAAGACGCCGAAACCTCAGCCGATTTTGAATAAACGTATGGTAGTCTTGGAATGCTTTGATTTCATAAACCAGTAACTTTGTGTGTCGATTTGTATGTACGTAAGTATGTATTTAAGTAGGTATGTATGTACATATGTATGTCCGTCCGTAAAATTCTCCACGGGTTCGAACAGTTAGTGGAAGCAGAACACGACCGCTAGACACTAGGGGATGTGTCCGCGTTTGGTGCAGATGTGCCATCCAATGTTCTGGTAGCCTCCGTAATATAAGACAACCATTTGGGACACTCCGAGCGACTGCACGAGCTGCTCGCGCAGCAACTGGACGTGTGCACGTGCGGGAGCAGTGTGGGTGGAGGGGGAAGTAACAAGTGACCCCTCCCCTCTGCTCCCTACCTTTGCACCTGCTCGACATGACCTGAGCACGCGCAGGGTTGGGAAACAGGGGGAAGATGTCGAGTGAAGAAGGTATGATGAGGGGTACGTAGCGCACGAGTAGGAGCACATATCAAGATAGGAGGACACAACAGCTAGCAAAACTGCATGCTCATCCATAATGATACCAAATTATGATGTTGTTCTAATTGTGACGACTGGTCCACCATCACTATATAAGAGAGCCATTTGGTAATCTCCGAGCCAGTACATAAGCAGCTCGCGTGGCATCTGGACGTGTTATCGCGCGTGGGTTCTTCATCTATTGTGATTCGATCAAAATGCACAGTATGAGCAGCTAAGTAAATGAACAAATTACGTCTCCGTTATGAAATACGCCTGGCGAAGCCAAGCTAGCTGATGGTAAGGAGAATGAGGAGAGCTCGGCGTCAGCAGCGCGATCCGAGTGGTGTTCGAAAAACACATTCATTTTATAGTTTGTTCGCAACGTTGGATATGGGTAGTGCGCATAAGTTTAATGCTAGCTAGGTAACAGAAAAGGTGTGTCCGGGAGGCGTTTTAACGAATACTTTTGACCGCGTGTGAAGATGATCTCATTTGGACTGTGTTTTATCTGAAGGATTTCTATTTCATCACTTCTTGCCAACGCTTCTACCGGGACAGAGTGGAAGGCTCCTATCTTGAGAAGGACAGTAGGATGGTTCTGTAGTGAACACTCACCTACGCAAAGATCTTTCCTTACCAAATCCACGTTGCATTCAGTTTCGCTTTGTTTCGGATTCAAGAACGATCTGAAAGAACATTGAATGAGATGGGGTTATGACACTCTCAAGCAATAATTTCCCTAAAAAATGGTCAATGTTCCTTTTGAATCAAACGCATAAAGCTCGAAAAGTTGCTCTCAAATAATTCCAAGGGTGCCGTGTGGGGAAATGAAGAAAAAGCGATGGTAAAGACCAAAAGCCTGCGAAGAGCCTGTTCTGCACAGCACTAGAAGGGTGCCCAAAAAGCATTCTTGGGCAAGACTCCCGTTGGCACTACGCCAACCACTACTTTGGTAGATATGACATCATGGAAATATGTATTACGGCACGCTTGGTTTGAAAAAGGCAAAACGCGACGCCAGCAGAGGGGACAATATCCTTCCGTGCTAGACTTATCGACCTTGTACGCATTGTCGATTTATTGTGCCAGTTGCCCTCAAGTGAACCCTTCCTCATTGGTCCAGTGACCTCCGTATGGTAAATATGGTCCATAAGAAGGCTTTCCAGAGGTATCCCGACCCCTTTTTTGCAACTTTCGTGCGACTTCTCTATTTTGGCTCGCTTAAGGTTATGGAGAATCTTTTCACGCGCAATCAACTACAACGGCCGTCCCAAGATGTCCAGTTGGGACCATTTCCGCAACCACTCTCCATAAAGTTACTATTCATTGCTGTGGGGGAAGAGAGCAGCTGCTGTCCCTCCGGCGGTGGAGTCACGTTCACGGCCCCGAGCGTGACAATTATATATTGGAAGAGAATGGTCCAAATCCAACCCCATCTCCGAAAGTTATGCAGGGTGCCGTCCTTCACGTCTAGAACTAATATGAGCTATTACATTATTGTATTGCAGATTAGTATTTCCGATTCGCACAAATCATCTCCTCATTCTTCCCAGTATTTTTACGCGCCCTTTTTTCTCACGAACTTGAGTTGCTTATTCACCTCTGATTTGCGATGTTGTTTTGACTAGCATTGGAAGAACACTTTCAAAATCCAGCGGAATCAAGCTAAATACAATTTTAATTACTTCTGCAAAAGCAGGTGGTCAGGTGGAACCTTATATTGACCCGACGCTCGGACCTTCTCTCCTTCAAAATCGCCTGAATATGATTTGAAGCTTTCAATTTGCACGCTCCGCAGGCATTTTATGGTTATAGTGACCCCACGCACCCCAGCTTTTACAAATGGTAGTAGCTCACCCACCCCGCAGACCCCTCTTCTGGAAAAGGCCCACTATACCTTAGCTTCCCACACGTTTTTTGCACATCTGGATGCATTGGCTGACGATATCCCCTATCTGTTTGAACTACAGAGGATATCGCAAAAGCACCACAAAACTTTGAACTGTCACGTAACCTAGCGATAGTGCCGACCGATACCAGAATGTGTTCCCCATACTATCTTAATACACTAGCGGGCGGCGCCGATCGATTCTCGTGTGCCGCTGGGTTCGTGTCCGCGAAAGCGCTGTTGGAATCGAAGCGCTTCGACGCGCGTCAGTGCGAGCGCTGCCTTGAACCTTGTTCCGCTGAACTACTTGAAATTCGACACAATGTCAGGGCTACAACAAGATAACTCATAAAACTGCATGCGGAGCAGGTGTCATCGGGGTGAACTGGAGCCCACCGACGACCACATTCTAGCTATATTTGCGAGCCGTACAATGCCATTGTCGACTAAATAGGGCTATTTCTTGGCCCTAGTGCATAATTCTAACACTTGTCCCATAGCACTTTGAAACACTATACAAGAGGTTGGTGGTGTGTCAACACTTATTGCGAATAAATCATGGTTTATGGTCAGGTTTTCCCTTTACCAGGCAGTCATTTTTCCCTCCATATCTTTTTTCCTTCTAGAATACACCCAGATTCCTTTCTGACGTCGCTGCGAACTGCGCAAATGTGATAGTACATTTTTCCGTGCTGACAGTGATGAACGCGTCAAAGAGTTCATCGGATGAAACTTCTGTCTTTTTTTGGTGAAGTCTGGTTCATTAGTGGTTGAGATATTCCCTCGAATGATTGTTCATACCGTGTTCTGCTTCTCGTTCCATGACCACAAGTAACAGAGCATTCACTCCACGGTTGCCACGATCCCACAGCACATTTGGAGTTGAAAGCCTCCGAGTTTTAATAAATAAAGAAATAAATATAGAATGACATTATGTTCAAGAACTAATCCTAAAATTTAAGTATGATCAGAAGTTGTTTCGTTACGATAACTGCTGTTTAGCGCGCATTTCGCGCTACCAATGTTGCCATAAGAATGCTGACTAATGTGCAGATGTCCTGATCCTAAAGGGGCTTGAGCTCAAACATCACGCTTTCCGGACGAGTGCTCCTTAGGTCACCCCCGAAGCCGGTCTCTTCTCCTCACAATCAGCTCTATGGCCTTTGTGCGAATGATGTCTTCGAACCGTGTCTCCTTTTCCTTTTCCCGACTCGAACAGCCATATCTACAACCTAACACGGGAAAATATCGGGAAATCCTTTCAAATGTAGATAGAATGTTACGTCGGCCGAGTACACCATAGTTCGCTGCGGACGGTTGGGCGTGTCAGCCCGTGTGTCACCCCATCAAAGCCGTTCTCTGCCTTCTTGTTGAGAAGCGCATGCGACAAAAAGTGGTAGAAAACGAGTAATACGAAGGATGTGATACAGTATTGTCACTTGCCCGCTTCAACAACTGGTAGAGAACGAGTTTGGCACCGCGCCAAACGCAGCCGCACTGACACGCCCAACCGTCCGCAGCGAACACAGTATATTTTACCTCCGTCCACAGCAGTATCACTATAGCGTTTTGATTATGTACACAACGCCTCGTACTTAGGCTTTGTCTTTTTCCTTCTGGAGGAAAGCGAATGGAAGCTACGTCATCAGCTTATGTGTAATTAAAATCTGGATGCGAAAATGTGAGAAAATGCTCTAATTCACCTTCGCACTCGTTGATTTTTGCATTGCAGAACTGCCGTTCTGTTGTTTGGCGGTGACAATGGAACATTTGAGCCTAAATTCACATCCATTGAGGCTGGCGTACTGTAAAGGTGTAATACTGCATTCTCCAATGCCGGAAAATCAAGGGATATAAGACCGTCGTTCAGTTTGAAAAGTTCCGATACGCCCTGCAGCCGACTTGTAATCAGAAACGATGCATTCGAACATTGCTAGTGTCCTTTTTCCTTCAGTTGGATTCTACTACTACTGAACTCAACCATATTATATGATCGAGTGGCTGACTATTTTGGAGCGAATTCGCTGTTGATTTCGTGCAAACATTAGGTCCAGGATTCAGAATGAAATGCTTTTCTGATGGCCACGAAGCTCTGATGTCGCTTACTATCTGCGATGTTTCACCTCATGCAGCACATAGATTGATACAATATAAAAGAGACAACTTAATATTAAATGTAGGCTAATTAGTCACACTCCCCGCACTTTTCAGGCAAGTCTGAGGAAGACTTGTAGTGGCCTAACAGAGATAAGAGTGTTCATGACGACTGACGATGATCCGGCTACGCAGAACTTGATGTGTGGGACAGTTCGGCGACTGGAGGGCGGGTCACTTTGCACTTTTGCCGCTTCATCAACGTGTACATCTATCCAGAGGATCATCTTCTGAGTTGGGTTTTACAATGGTGCTCGATGAGCTTGCTCCAGCTCCACGAAAGTTTGCAGGTACACCAGAGTGAGACTTGTAAACCGCAGGTAGTGAAGCAGCTAAAGTGCCAACTACCCCCGTCGCCGAACTCCGCCCTCGATTCTTATCAAATTGGCAATGAGAGTTTCTATTTACAAGCCATCATATTCGAAATGTGTATGTCTTATGGTTAGCATGATGTCTTCTACTATACGAGTGTGGCTCATCACATCCGAGGGGCGACTGTGCACCCCGAGAGATCACAGTAATCTCCAAACTAGTCTCATTTGTACTTGGGAGACGATTAGCCGTGATTCCGCAAAGACACTCTGTATGTATCACACATTACATTCCATCAAGTAAGGAATCTAGGCGAAAGCTCCGGTAACCCCATGGCGTACGCAGTCGCAGCTAAAATAGGAAACGAATGGCACAGTGGGAGGCATGCCACCGCGCCGTGGCCCACCTGAAGGTAATTAAAATAACACGGATAGACAGATTTGGAGAAAGGCTTCGAAGGTGATGAAGTAATTTCTCCACCACAAACGCGAAAATAGTTTTTCCTCCATATTCTAAAACGTGCCTTTATAGGGAAGACGAACACTCTGCTTCTCATTCGAATTCCTTTTCCACACGTAGCTGAACACAAGGACCATGATCCCCAGTTCGACATAAGACATTCGCCTGAAAATCTGATCGAAACGGAGAGAATGGCGGATAAGCATCGTCAACGTTTTCCCTTCTTTTTCACATAGACAGGAAAGATTCAAGGGGAAAAGGAATGAAATGGTACCATTCCAGGTGAAGCACAACTCACGAAGAGCAAAACCATTTCCCAAGAAAGTTGATGTTTACCTACCTCAACCTTTTTGGGTGCACGAAATCCTATTGCCTTTAGCTCACAACTCACAGTACGTTGTCAGCACGTCTCAGCACTGAGTGCTTTTCAGTCTATTTAATTCAATTTGAATGGAAGTCCTGGTAGTTCGGTTCACAACAAGTTTCCAGGGCTAGCGAAAGAAACTTAGGCTGCTTCATACTTCGCGGCAGCGTCCACCAGCGTCCACTGGCGTTTCGAGCGTCCGGCAGCGTCCGACCAAGTACAGATATCGATATAGCCTGCCAGTGTCTACCAGGACATAAATCAGATTAAGGATGGATTAGGTGTCGTGAAATTGCAGCATGTACGACCGCACAGCAAAACTGTAGACTGCAGAATTGTGCAATTCGATGTAGAATGCAGTGCAGTTGTACGGTGCGCTTGCACGGTAGAACTACACTGCATCCTACATCAAATTTTAGAATGCCAACCTGACCTGCTCGCTACCCTCCTACTTCCCCATCTCTCTACTCCCGGTCGCTGGTGAACGTTCGTGGACGCCGGCATACGCTAGATCAATACCTATGTTTTGTTAGCCCTCGAGACGCTGATGGACGATGGGAAACGCTGTCGGATGAACGCAGCCTTATTTGGCAAGCATCGCTCTTCCCCATCAAGGACTTGGATTGATGTGTGGCTTTCAGGTAGGGTAGGAGCAGATGATAACCTTCTGACTCACGTCTATCTTTGTACTCCTCGTCTTCACTGGTGTTTGTGATGTTGAACGCCTCACGCCTGTACTCGTCATCGGCTTGACATCTCATTGGAATTACCTAAATGTAGCAGAATTTTCACTTGATGAAACAACTAATAAAAATCGATCAGCAACCTCTGTTCGTTTCAGAATTAATTTGGCCAACGGTGGTATGGTGTCAGTCTCTGTTGAGTAGAACGGTGAAAGCGGATCGTCTTGGTAATCCATTTGATTGGCACGCGGGGCTCCAACGGAGAATTCGGAGACTGAAATTAAGGACAAATATTCGGCTACGTCTGTTTGTTTGTTTATGTGCCCAGAAATACAGTTTTTCTTGCACACGCAAACTAAGCGAACCTCACCCAGTGGGCGAGGCGCACTCGTGAAACGCTGTCATGTACCAAAATACATCACACGAATGCAATTGAACCCACAAACATAAAAAATGTGAAAAGTCAGTAGGGACTGGGTGGATGTGGAGAGGAAGCCATACTCGCAATAAATGGAGAGGTGCGATGAACGATAGTACACAGTGCTTGCTACAAAAATTCATAATCCGCTCCCTAGACAGTCCGGAAATCGGAGAGTTGGTGAAGAAAAGGATTTTCTAGGGAGATTCGTGTTTTGAGACCTGCTTACAGTGTGCGGAGGTTGTTCTCATACGGAAGGCATTCATTTCAGAAAAGCGGGCCTTGTAAGACTATTGATACCTCAAAAACTCGAAATTTTGGCACTACTCCACCAAAACAGGGGTGAAAGCATCGCAGTCAATCAATCCCTTTTTGTGGTGCGGGACACACCCTACATCCCTCTGAAAAAGCAAGAATTGTGGAGGCCTATCGGATATGGCCTATATGTACACATTTACTCTGAATTCACCCTTTTTCAAAGCATATCACTCCTTTTCAAACCGAACTCACCCCTTTTCCAACCAAATTCACCCCTTTCCAAACCAAATCCACCCCTTTTCCAACCAAATTCACCCCCTTCAAATCAGATTCACCATCACCTTCCAAATCAAATTAGCCGCACCTGTTAGGAAACTCATCAACCAGATCACGCAGACACCACAACGATCCCGCCCTGACGGCCACGCCTACTTGTCAGCGCGGGCATAGATTATCTAATCTTGTTTCATAGCTTCTGCTTATGTGACTTTTCCTATCTTTTGCTGTTTCCCAGAAACACTTTGACTGAAAACGACTGGGCATTGGCACATGGCCGACTCCGCCCATTCTCTAGAAATTGGCAAATTAGGCTCCGCTCCTTGACCACGCCAACTTGCTTTTTACGGAATTTTTATTTGTTTCCAAAGTTTTTGCACTTTTGGATTGTCTCGTGAAGCTTCTCCCACTATGACAGGCTCCGCCCACTTTCAAGAAGCCGCACCCACTTTCCAAAAATGGTGCATCTCGGCAGTACAGAGTCTCGGCTGGCACTTTAGGGTATTGCTGATCATTCGGAACAAACTTTGCCTGATTTTCTTGTTCCAATGACGAACGAGACCCGAGCATGGAAGCCAAGACCCTATACTGCCGATCCGAACCATTTTAGAAAGGTGGGCGGGCTTCCAGTGGGCGGAGCCTCTCGAAGTGGGCGGGGTTACACGTAGCCGCCCGAAAATGCAAAAATTTTGAAAAAATATCCAAATTCCACGAAAAACAAGTTGGCGTGGTCAAGGGACGGGGCTCACGGCGGTGTCTGCGTGATCTGGTTGATGGGTTGCCCGGCCTAATGAGTATGGTTAATTTGATTTGGAAACTGATGGTGAATTTGATTTGAGAGGGGCGAATTTGGTTGAAAAGGGATTTGCTTTGAGGAAGGGTGAACTTGCTCTGAAAAGTGGTGAATTTGGCTTGAAAAGGAGTGAATTAGGTTTGAAAAAGGGTGAATTCAAAGAGAAAATGGTATATACCATTTTCACTTCAAACTCACCACTTTTCGAAGAAAACTCACCCTTTTTCAAAGCAAGTTCACCACCTTTCAAAGCAAATTCACCACTTTTCAGACCAAATTCACCACTCTTCTTGGACCTGGCAGTTCACCAACCAGATCAAGCCACACAGCACCGCGAACCCTGGCCCGATGGCCACGCCTACTTGTCAGCGTTTTCAACACATAACTGGCTCCGCCCATTTTTAAACGTTTGTTCCGAGCTTCGAATCTTGATAACTTTTTAATTTCACATCCACTCTTCGCACAACGAAGGTACTCGTAGACGCGTATTCATGCACCGGCAATTTAGGCTCCGCCCCCTTGGCCGCGCCCACTCAATCCATGCTCTTGACAAGGACTGCAGTGGTATTAACGTTGAAAGCAGTATGTGTGATGTTTCTGAGTCAGGGACGTTGATTTGTGAACAGGCTCGAGAGAAAGAAAGCACTAAGCGCATATTTCAACCAATTACAGAAAAGATGCGCGACTCCGACGCCCGGCGGATTTGAGCCACAGAAGGACACACGCCGCAATCCGATCTGTTCATGAATAGAAAGATTCAGTGAGGTCCCAGATTTCGATTCCGAGAAGGGCGTGCGATGTTTGTTTACGAGGCCAACGTTCTGAGGTTAAAACCACTTTGTGCAGCGTCTAGCATCTCCGAGAGATTGAACTTCTCGACCGTAAACAGCACTGAAGGGCACCGGGGGCTTCAGTTTTCTATGTGACAGAGAAGATGAATTTAGCGGAATTTTTTCAAGGTAACATATGCATTATATGTTCTATATTTTGCCAATATATAAACAGTTCAGCAGTGTCATTTGTTTCCAGCGCTGAGAAAGAAACGGATCACTTCTTTCCAGTATAGGTGCAAGTGCGGCCAGCGCAAACGTCATTTACAAAAGCCATGCCGAGAGGGCATACCTGAAAAATATTTGGAGGATGACAAAGTGGCTCTTAGAGAATATTCTCGAAGGCAGCTTACCAAGAGTACGACGATCGAGGAAAACAGCGGCGCGAGCTTCATTGCTTTCATTTATTTTGAGGAAAAGTGGTTTTCTGTCTAAAACTGTGAAGAACATATAGTGTCGTGAAAAGTGTTCGAGTGCAGTGCCGTGCAGCGACTCGCATCAAGCGGAAGTGATACTGGGGGCCAAAATGAACCAGGAACTAACTTTTTTTCGTTTTTTTAAGGATATTTTGGTGCTGGCGCCTGCGCGACGAGCGGTATGCGGGTTTCTATAATAGTATATATATACCATCTTCACCTGAAATTCACCACTTTTCAAAGAAATTCACCACTTTTCAAACCAAATTCGTCACTTTTCAAACCACATTCACTTTTTTTTTAAAAAATCTAATTCACCACTTTTTTAGACGGGGCAGTTCACCAATTAGATCACGCCCGACGCCACTGCGAGCCCTGCCGCGACGGTCACGCCTAATTGTCAGCGCGGAAATAGATTTTCAACACATCGACACATGACCGACTCCGCCCATTCTTTGAACGTTTGTTGCAAACTTGAACTTTCATAACTTTTTCAAATTTTTAATTTCACATCCACTCTTTGCACAACAAAGATACTCGCACCCCCCTCCCCCCATTTATGCACTGGCAATTTAGGTCCGCCCCCTTGGCCGCGCTCACTTGCTTTTTGCAGAATTTTGACATTTCTTCAAAATTTTTGCATTTTTGGACGGCTATGTGCAGCCCCGCCCATTGTGAGGAGCTCCCGAAGAAGTCCCCGATTTTTAAAATTGGTGCAAATCGGCAGTTTATAGTATTGGCTTGCATGCCAGGGTCTCGTCCGTCGCTCGAGACAAATAAACCACGCAAAGTTTGTTCCGAGTTGGACGAGGCCCTAGCATGCAAGCAAAGACTCTGTACTGCCGATTTGCACCAGTTTTAAAAAGTGGACGTGAAATTTTGAAGTGAGCGGTCTCTCACAGTGGGCGGGGCTTCATGGAGCAGTCCGAAAATGCAACAATTTACGCAACATCTGACATCTTCAAACCACTTTTTGTCGCATACGCGTTGCAACAAAAAGGCTGAGAACGGCTTCAACAGTGTGTGCACTCCTTCTGGCTGACACGCCCCACTGGTCCGCAATGATGAGGACTATATGTATGTACTGGCACGAGCAAGCAGGGATGTTGGGAGCTTTGTTGGACATGTTCCTGGAAAAAGCAAGAAACGTATCTACACAAAAATCGATTCTTTGAACTTCTCCATGTAACAACCGCTCGCTACCATTCGGGTCCCAATGCAACTTCACATTATCTCCTCCTAATTTATGCAGAGTAAGGACGATTCCGCGCTCCCATGTGATAACTTTTAGGACATCGACCAGAGAAAAAACTCTCTACAACACCGTTCCGACAATTTCGAAGTAAGCCGTAAGCTCGGCGTCCCTCAGACGTATACATCGAACTGACCACCTTGCCTGATCAGGGATATCTCCATTATTCTGGATTTCATGTTGAGGCTCCGCCGTATTTACCGGGCCTGCATATAGACGGACTATCATCTGCTTATTTTGGTTTCCGCTCAATGCAGGACAAGTAGTTTGACTATGCAGAGCACTTGAAGGGCACGTAGATGGATTGTTTCCAACAAATCCCCGGAATTCTATACAAGCGACATCCACAGATCCCCTGATGAATGGCAATCCGTTATGAATGACAGTGTGAATACTGAATGCATTGAAAGAGAAATAAACTCGAAATCGTAGAAGTGGGCACGAAAGTTTTTCGAACAGCTCACATGAGTTGTTATGATAGGTTACCAGCGACAGCGCCGAAAACGCCTATAGAGGACAAAAAATTTGCCATGACTTTGAGCCGCAAATCCGTGAAGAATACGGGAATGCAAAAGAATTGCTAGGAGACAGTAAGATGAGTTTCTCAGCCGCTGCTCCACTGCCCGTAAAAGCGAAGAAACTGCTCCAATCAGCTATTGCATGCTTTTTATAGTACGAGCCATCTACGCGTTCAGCGCTTCTCATTCGTTTATTATTAAAATGATTTGGCAATGCAGAGTAGTGAATGCTAAGCTTGATTTCAATGAACGGCATGAGAAGTATAATAGTATAATATATAATATAATATAAAGTTATAAAATAAATATAAGTTATTTAAATTATTAATAGTAGTATAACACCGTTACGCTATAATGCTGTGAAGACGCTTTTCGTTCTATTATTCGATATTGAAATTCACTGTATAATTCGAATTTTGATGAGCAGCGCGAGAAAACTCTTAACAGTATAATACCGTACGCCTATGCTTTCAAGACGCTTTTCATGCTATTATTCAGTTTTTGAATTCATTCTTTCGCTATCATCCATTTCGTCATAGAAATGATGCGCGAAGCGCTCCATTCATCGCCACTATAAAAACAGTCGTAGGAATGCAATTCCCGTTTTCCTGTGCGAGCGAGGCGGACAATCGCTCCAGGTCTGTCTCTACAACGATAGCTCTCACTGTTATCTTCCACGGGCTCAAAATGGTGGCGATATTTTTTGCTCTGTCAGGTGTTTTTGATGCTGTTGCGGTAACCTTCATGATGATTTGTACTTGCCTTCGTAATCCGTAGACAACAGGCACAACAATTTTAGGGCTGATGCGGTTTGGACTCCAGAAATTAGGGCTCCGAGCTCATATATTCAAATTGCCTAAGCACCAATCCACTAAAAACTTGTATATATGGGTAATTTCAACGTCGTGATTACGAGTATGACA